GGGGTAGTGCAGAGTAAGGTAAATTTGGGAGGGGGGATGTAAAAAGATGTAATTAACAAAAAGACGCCCTTTCATACTAAGAATTATTTTTCACTGTTAAAATAAGTTATGGTAAAATTTCTGTATACTGATAATACGAGTGATAACGACATTTGAAACCATAAAAGCATAGAAATTTAAATAATTCATAATAGATATTCAATATATGGTTCTGATACAGTGGTCGGCTATTATATCAATACAATGCAGGTGAATTTTTATCAATAATTCTTTGATCCCTAATAAGCACTATTCAAATTATAAGTTGAAAAGTATACAAAGAGAAGCTGTTATTCATCTTTCATATTTCATATTTGTATTCAACTACAAAGTACGAGATAATACAAATAAAAAAATCACAATTTACTATGTAGTTTGGACCCGCCTAACCAGAGTAGGTTGTTTTAATTGGTTGGCCCACTGTAAACGAATGAGAATTGCAAATAAAAACAACGTACATTGTACATTTTAAACATAAGAATGATGATTAATCATGAAAATGGTAAGGAGGAGGTGAGGGAGTATAAGGGTAAGGGAGAATCCTCAGCCTAAGGGTTGGAACTTCTCCTTGTTTAAATCTTTATGTGTATCTGCTGTTTGAAAGATCAGTAGAAATTAATAAATATACGACGACATATACCTATATCACTTGCATAGTCTGATCTACTAAATGGCCCCACGACTCCAAGTGTAGGGGTTGCACTGAGAGCTGTTGTTACTAAAACCACAACAATCCACAACAACAGCGCTGTAAGAGATAAACTTAACCCTAGATTATCCACACCTATAAAATACAAATAAGATTAGATAATTAAAGGAACTGTTCGCGTAATTTCAAGTGACCCTGAATGCAAGATGGCAATGCCCGATTTACAACCGTACTGTTAAAAGCTTTGTCTGATCAAACATGTTTTTGTTTATTTAAACTGTACATGTTCATTTGTGGTTTCTCGACAAAAGTAACTTGCCCATTTCTTGCTCATGAAAAACAATGAAGCAATTATCAGGAATAAATACTTTTGGAGTCTGAAAAACGACGTTCAGATTAAGGTTTCCAGCGTATTATTGTAAATCGGGCATTGCCATCTTTGCATGAAGGGTCACTTCAACATTACGCTTTACCTCTGATTCTTTAGTAAAAGTAAATTCAACTTAAAGTCTGACTGCGTCAACTTTGTTGCATCGGCTAGTCCTACTGAGTGTCTGCTTTATTTACTCAATGTCCGGGCGATACAGTACAAACTGGGACCGGAAAGGTTGACCCGGCTATTAAATTCAAATGTATCTACGGCTGCCCGTTGAAATTCTTGAAACAATAATAAAGTTTTGTGGGACATTTAAATCTTTTTTAACTAGTTATTAATTAACCTGTCGCAGCTTCCTCAGCTTTTAATTCTAGATTGTTAATCTCGCTGTCCAGTTCAGTTTCTTCCTGTAGAATAATAAAGTTAAAGAAAAAGAAGTCTCAGTTACAAACTCTGATTTTCGGATGCCTATATTTTTGCAACACGATGTCGTAGTCCTTAGATATTTCAAACTATGATTTTAGTTAAATCAAATATTCTAAGTTTAAAGTATCAAAGGCACTGCGTTATCATCTGCATGACCGTCTTTGATCACACTCATAGCTTTGATCACACTCTGCAGTGCTGTACCCTCAAAGCTATGAGTTGGTTGGATTTTGGGTCTTTTGGGTCTTTTGGTGGCAATATTTTCGTTTACAGGGTCAAAATGGGCCATATATGTGTAGCAAATGTTTTCAAAATGTTTTTTTCTAAACATTTGTTTTTCAAACATCATGTCAAATTTTTACTGAAGATATATATATGCAAACAGCGATCCATAAACGATCCAAAAACGATGCAAACGATGTTTTTGGATCGTTTTCCATTTTTTTTAAAACAGATAATGCAAAATTTAATAAAAGCAAACTTTAACAAAATATAGGTTTAGTTAATTTGTTCCTTAAACGATTCAAAACGATAAACAACACAATATGTACCCTGTACCCTGTACCCTGTACCCTGTACCCTGTACCCTGTACCCTGTACCCTGTACCCTGTACCCTGTACCCTGTACCCTCTGTATCCTGTATCTTGTACCCTGTACCCTGTACCCTGTACCTTATTTTGAAGAACAAAGGAATAAACCAAAGGAAGTGCTACAACCAGAGTTATAAATTTAATCATATTATCACTTATTGATCAAATCACATTCATAAAACTTTTAAATATCTAGATCTGAAAATATTCAAAGCATTAAAAAAATTTTAAAAATTAAAGAAAGACGTTTTTAACAACCAAGTGTCTATTTGAAAAGTAATTTTTCTACTGATTTTTTACTGATTTTCTTCTTATTAAATATAATTGTACGTTTAGGATTTTACCAATATAAACCAGTCTCTATAGGATATTTAATTCATAAACCAGAAAATTACTGTTTTATGTTTATTTACATAAAAAAAAAATTTAATTTATCATCATGGATATATTATTATTGTTGCTGTTTGTACTCTTATTATGACTATTATTATAAATATTATTATTTAATTTAGAATTAAATTCTCAAACTTTTTCTTTCTAAATGGGGTCTGCCTAATTTCCGCTTTCAATATTACCGGATGTATATGAAGAAATTCGTTTAAAAGAACATTCGCTTTATTTAATAAATTCAAATCTAAACGAAATTCTTAAAAATTCTCCATTAATTTTGAAAATCACAAAACAAGGCAGATTACATTTTGGAAATGCCTGCCGGGCTAGAAGACTTTTGTGATAAATGTTTTAAGAATATTAAATGTAAAAGTTGGTTGACCAATGGATGTCGCAACTATGATCTTCATGTCATGTTTCATGGGACCCTCTGTTTACAATGTATGTTAAAAACTCAAGGTTCTTGATTTAAAACCTCAAATTATTCCAAAATATGTTATTCAAGATGAGTCGTAGAGGAAAATCAGGGCCCATCTATATTTGCAAAATGGCATTTCTAACAGTATAGTGTGGGAACATATGACCAGATACATGACCAGTTTACCTGAAGAAAAACATCACAACTTTAAGATTATATAACACTTAAGGCCAAAACCTCTATAAAGAAATAAATTCTTTGCCACAAACCTAAATTTTGTAATGCCTATGTTTTAGCAACCTGACATTTCAAGCTTAAATTATTTAATCTTACACAATTCATAGTTTAAATATTTAAGGTCTATGACATCTTGGTCTTATGTTAATCTGCAGATTATTTTAATCTGTACAAAGGAACTTGGCAACTAGAATTCCCCTAATCTTTTTGATTAACGTTTTTAAAGAAATTTTTAACTTTACATTAAAAAATACATTTAATATTTTTTTTTATTAAATTGTTGATTAATAATTCAATTTTATCATTTTATCCCATTTCATTTTTTCTATTTTTTATTTATTTTCTATTTTTTATTTATTATTAATTTTTAAATTCGTATTCATATTTCAGGCCTACACGACATTTACATCAGGAAAATACATATTTAAAAACAAGCTAAATATGTTAATTCTATTTAAACTGAAAAAATCTAGAATGCATAGGATGACCATTCTAGGTAATTAAACCCAAGAAGGCTGAAAATGAAAGCCTGTTAAAGAGAAAAAAGTAAAAATATTTTTTATGGAAAGCAAAAGGGTTTTATTGGGGTCTGGGATGGGTCAGTCAGCTAAACAATTCTGAGATGATTTCAAGGATGTACACAGATAGATTGGAAGATTTAAGCCTCAAAAACTTTACAGAAGAAATTTTGCGTCAGTACATATTTCGAAGTGTATAATTTTTACAATACCTATAGTCAGGGGTTGAAGGGATATTTGATAGGATTTTGTTTTGTTTTTTTTTCAAAAAAGATGATTTTGTACGTTCTCAAAATTATCGTTATTTTTTATCTATTTCGTCCGTTTTATCACTGAATGACCATTCAGTAAAATAGTGTGTTTAATAAAATCGTTCTTTCAGTAAAAAAAAAATTAAAGTTTTTTCAAAAATTTGTTCGAAAAAAATAGTTTGTTCAGTAAAAATCTAACCTTGTTTTCTAAATCTTTTGTAAAATTCATTCGTTCAGTAAAAAAAGGATTGTGTTTTTAAGTTCGTTCAAATGATTTAAATGTTTTTTGTTCTTTATTTTTGAAAAACGATCATTTTTTCATTTCATTTCATCGATTGTTTTTATTGAACGACAATCTTTTTCAATAAACGCTGCCCATCTCTATCCAATTATAAAAGTGCTCATATATTGGATACCGATATCTGTGGATCTGGACTACGAGTATCCACCTGCAGTTCCAAGCTTAAGATGAGACTGCAAACAACCCATGGCCACACAACACTCTAGTACTACCATACTGAGAAGCTGTAAACATAAAGAGAAAATGCAAATGACATGGATGAAATTAAAATGACTCAATGTTTTGGTTTTTCTTCTGTATGAAGTATCAAACTTAATTTCTTAGATAACAATTAATTTAAACAGCTTTATTATATAATATCTTATTTGCCAGAAAATTAGGTTGTTAGTTCCATTCTTTCCATTTGTTTGTATAATTAATTGATTTATATAAAAGAGCAAAAGTCGTCTTTTCCTTCCAGAATGCTGTCTTAATCTCTGTACAATTTGAAAATGTGATCCTGCAATTTATACATCAATGTATGACCGAGGTCAATTTAGGGTTTCCAACACAAGGGATTTTACTTGCGCGCAATTTCTAGCCCTGTAATTTCTGCTCAATTCCGCGCAATTTTGCACAATTCCGCGCAATACAAGAACAGTTGCGCACAGTTCCGCAATTTCGCGGAATTTCGCCCAACGGAATTCTGATTGGAAACCTTAGTATAATTGCTCGAAATCTGGTCTGAAATTGATTTCGTGTGCTACGCAAGGAAATATCACATAAAATAAAACATATTCTACGCACCTCCTGCACATTCTACTTAAACATGTACGCATCACCAGTCAGTGAACCTTATATTACTTTGCGTCAGTTATTTAAGCGTAGTTGATTAATAGTTTGATTAGCTCAAATTATAGTATGAAAAATTCTTAAATATGATATATCCTTTGACTATATTCGAATAAGATAATAAACTAAATTTATTTAAATGATAAACTCTATATATTTAAATGATGAACGCTATGATTACGATGATAAACTCTATGATTACGATAATAAGCTCTTTGATTAAGATGATAAACTCTATGCTTAAGATGATAAACTCTATAATAAAGATGATAAACTCTTTAATGAAGATTATAAACTCTATGATAAAGATGATAAACTCTATAATAAAGTTGATAAACTCTATAATAAAGATGATAAACTCTATAATAAAGATGATAAGCTCTATAATAAAGATGATAAACTCTATAATAAAGATGATAAACTCTATAATAAAGATGATAAACTCTCCAATAAAGATGATAAACTCTATAATAAAGATGATATCCTAATAAACAAAATCTGTCTTGTTTTCACTTTTCAAAACAAAAGTCACTCTGCTACTGAAAAGAATTTACACCACCGGTGAAATCAAGTAGATAGATAGATAGATAGATAGATAGATAGATAGATAGATGAAAGATAGATAGATAGATAGATAGATAGATAGATAGATAGATAGATAGATAGATGAAAGATAGATAGATAGAATATGTAAACTTGTGATGCATGGTTGAATATTTTACCAATATGTTCTCACTCGAATTTCCCTGGGTCCGTCTCAATTTTCCCATACCATCAGCTCTTCCCCACCCTTCCCCCTTCTTAATTCCCTCCCCCCTCTTTCCTTCAACTCAACACCTGTTTTTTCTACCATCGCCTTCTTTTCTCTTCTCTTCCCTTACAATGCTTTCTCACTTTTTACTTTCCCTTATCTTTTAATCTGTTCGGAGAGGGAAGGTAAAGGAAGGAAAAGAAAGGGAGAGGAAGGGTAAGAAAGGGAGAGGAAGGGAAAGGAAGGGAAAGGAAGGCAAGTAAGGAAAAGGAAGGGAAAGGAAGGGAAAGGAAGGGAGAGGAAGGGAAAGGAAGGGAGAGGAAGGAAAAGGAAGGGAAAGGAAGGGCAAGTAAGGGAAAAGAAGGGAGAGGAAGGGAAAGGAAGGGAGAGGAAGGGAAAGGAAGGAAAAGGAAGGGAAAGGAAGGGAAAGAAAGGGAAAGAAAGCGAAAGAAAGGGAAAGAAAGGGAAAGGAAGGGAAAGGAAGGGAAAGGAAGGGCAAGTAGGGGTAAGGAAGGGAAAGGAAGGGAAAGGAAGGGAATGATAAGGCATGAGAGAAAGACATGGGGAGAAGGAAGTGCAATTGGTGGGAAATGGGGGAGAGTAGAGTAAGATGGAAATCAACGCATTAAATTAAAGTATTTTTGAATATGTAAACAATTAAATTTGCGGTATTCATACTTGTTTGCAAAATCAAAACTGAAGGAGCTACGAGGTCACAACGTCGTACCACGATTATCCATTAAAGGAATTGAGTTTTTGCCACAAACTCTGATTTTCTAATCACTAGTTCTACCCGTATGTTGTAGACTTTTAATATTTCAAATTATGAATTCTGTTAGATCAAATAATCTATGTTTGAAATATTAAAGGTTTACATCATCCGGTTACAGAAATATAGAGATTATAAAATTTGAGTTTGTGACAAAAACTCAATTCCTTTCTGTCTGGATTGCAGGGATTGAGAAGAGAAAGGGGACGGGTAGAGAAGAGAAAGGAGTGGGGAATATAAGTGGAAGAGAGGGGGAAGAGGGGGGGGGGGGAAGGGGGGGATGCTTTCTCCAAGGATCAGGTGTTGAGTCCACTTTGCTTTGGTTTAGTTTCCTAGAGAATTCAAACCATAGATTATACAGTACAGGGAGTAAGGTTAGAGTTCATACATTATCTATATGAATATACTAGGCTTTTAGGGCGCTCCGCGCCCATCTTCTATTTCAATTGTAAACATTTTCTCTTTGTATACATTGTATAAGTTTGCGGATTTCATAAAAATTATTTCATGAATTTTCAAGATTTTCAAAGATTTAATGAAAATCGAATTATATTGGAGGCAAATTTTTGAAAATTTTTTATTTTTTATTTATTTAGTACATGTGAATAAAGTCAAATTATAGAAAGATTTTCTTTTGCAATTGCGAAAAAACAATTCAAATTTTGCTCGCCATTACTGCTGAAAAAATTTGGTCAAATCTTTCATGAAATTGAAGTAAAAGTTGAAAACCTAAGAGAATACATTATATATTAGAGCGGAATTTAGACAATCCTTCGGTATGAATTTTGCCAGTCCCTTTCAGCCTGAAAGGGAGTTCAAAGTGTACAAATCATGTAAATGTTCACAAATTGTATGCAGTAGAGTACATTAATACAGTATGTTCCCTAGACCACCCTACACTATTCATTTCAATTTCGAATTTTTTAAAGCTTTTAAATAAACTTTATAAAATGAATTAGGTGAATAAAAACCATCATTTTATTTGTAGTTAAAACGGAAAATCATCGTTTGTAAAGCTAAAGGCATAGAGTCTAAGTGAAATGATCATTGGTCAATTATGAAACCAGCTTATTTCATAATTTGGTTTTCTTTTAATATTAATTTTATTTTTTCTATAAAATGATGTTCCAGGGCCCAAAAGGTTATATAGCACAAATATGTGAAGTACACCTGCAGTAAGGAAACAATACAACAAAATGGCCGTTTTACAATTTTTCTAGTAAATTCCACTCTAATATATATTTTATTCTTTTTGTTTAAAACCCTTCTAGACAAATGCTGAATTCTAAAATTTAAAAATTTTACACGTTTTTTGACACAAAGTTACACATATGCATTTTTTTATTCTGTTTCATTCATCAAGGCTATATAAAATATTGTATGAACTGTATTGAATGTGGATAAAGAAATAGATATCTAGCTGATTGAATAATAACAAAACATGAAAAGAAAATGGGATACCATTTATATTATCAATTTTGTTATTTGGATAGCGGAGCCCTGTAAATTTTAAATTCAAGTTTAAATCGATCTTTTAGAAGACTCGTTTTTCGATGATTGATGTTTTTCTGTTATGAAATTTTTTTTCTTTTAATGGTTTTTTGATTCTTTTTGTTTTAATTATCAGTTTTTTTCGTGAAAAATACTAATATCATATTTTGTCAAAAATATGTACTATGGGAAGAAGTTTAATAATTATTGCTTTCTAACCCAGCAATTACCCGCTTGGCCTCAGTCTTTCGACTACTATCAACAAATAAACAAGATATATTTGCTTGGTAGGAGGGTAATTGTATGTAAAAATAAACGTTAAAACGGCTGAACCAATCGGCCTCAAAATATTTTCCAATAAAAACATCAAATTTTAGTTGAAAGTGGAGAAAAAAGTTACGCGAAAAAACTTGGAAATCAATCCAACTAGAGAAGAATCCAACTAGAGAAGAATCCGCCAAAGGAATTGAGTCTTTGCCACAAACTAATTTTCTAATTCCTTAAACTTTGCAACCAAATGCAGTAGACCTAAAGATATTTCAAAATATGAATTCTGTTGTATAAAATAAACATCAAAATTTATAACAATCTAGGTTGCAAAGTGCAGGCTTAATAATATCTTCATTTTTTAAGATCTATTTGATCCTACAGGTTTCAGCCCTAAATTATACTATTCTAATCTTCTTGTGGAGCAATAGCATTACCTAGCTAAACCTTGACATATTATTTTTGATTCGGGAGCATGGACTGCATGGTGTGCGGTGGTGGCACCAGAATCAGAATGGGCTGATACATTTTTCTTTTTATACCCAATTGTTGAATTAAAAAATGATACAGTCTTATTCTAAATAACCCGGAATAATATAATTAAAGCTCTCTTTGACCTTAGAAGAAGCTTGTGGCATTCATTACAGGTTGCATAGTCCTTCTTTTTTTAAAAATACGGTCTGCCATTTTTTTGCCATTGATAATACCCTGAGATATTAATTTTTTTTTATTTCCAGTTTTTAAATAAAACCATGAAAATATCTCATTCTGATTCAAATCTTTCATATCTCCGCTATTTTAAAATGTGTCTATAGTTTCATAAAACACTTAATTTACTCCATGCGAAACCCTGTGATTTTGTTCCTGTTTAATTTTGCGTTGTATCCAAAGAGTATAGAATATATATTAGAGGGGAATTTACAAGAAAAAAGTGTAAAACGGCCATTTTGTTTTACTGTTTCTATACTGCAGGTGTACTTCACATATTTATGCTATATAACCTTTTGGGCCCTGGAATATCATTTTATAGAAAATCTAAAATCAATGTTAAAAGAAAACCAAATTATGAAATAGGCTGGTTTCATAATTGACCAATGATCATTTCACATAGACTCTATGCCTTTCACTTTACAAACGATGATTTCCGTTATAACTCTAAATCAAATGATGTTTTTAATTCACCTAATTCATTATAAAGTTTATTTAACAGCTTTAAAAAATTCTAAATTGAAATGGATAGTCTAGGGAAAATACTGTATTAATGTACTCTACTGCATATAATTTGTAAACATTTACATGATTTGTACACTTTGAACTCCCTTTTAGGCTGAAAGGGACTGAAAAAATTCATACCGAGAGTTTCTGTAAATTCCCCTCTAATATATATTCTATCTCTATGGTTGTATCGCTTAGATCAATAAAGATTTATTTAATAATAATATCTACGGTAGTTAGAAAGCATAAAAATGTGTAATGCAGTAAACTATTTCTGAGGTCAAGACTACTTTAAAGTCATCAATCAATTTATATTATTCCGGAGGCAGAAATTAAAGAATTTGAGACGTGCCTTAAACATGGTTGGCTCCACTTGAAATTGTATTCAGTGTTTCGAGATTTGAGCCGGCGCTCAATTGGAACCTTTGTTTGGCGGTTCAGCGACGCGGTTTAAATTCGGCCTCGGGTTATTCAAAATAGGAATGTAAAAAATATGAAAGTAAGAAAGACTGATTTTCAGATGAAGAATGAAGGGGCTGTACCGATGCAAAAGATACTTCTATTTACTTCCATTCCTCTTTATTTCAACTTTAACATTGATGGTAAAATATTTTCAGTGTTTGTATCAGAAAACATATATAGATACAACATATGTACATACCAAGAAATATATATTTGTTGGTACATACAATGTGCAAGTACGTACAACGTATGTACAACAAATAACCCCAAAAAAGATGGACTACATCTCGACGGTCGTAAAGACTTTGTATAGTCCACGGAATTTAATAACATGACAAGAGTAAATCATGTTATAACATTTTATTTAAATTAGACATTTATCTAGGTGTAATTCTAGGTAACCGCCAACAGTTTCCGGAAAAAAATACTAAAATTTCACAATAAAAAAGTCCCGTGTAAAAAAGTTCCAGGAATCCAAAACACAGGACTTTATTTCCAGTGACATTTTTTCCAAGGACTTGAGAAAATTTGGACTTTTTTCCAAAGTTTTTATTTCCAGGTTTTTTTCCAGAAACTTTTTTTCCGGGGACTTTCTTATATAGATTCGTAATTCTATAGTTTGTCCGAAAATATATATATATATATATTATATTTAAATATATTTTAAAGTTCTGATTTTAGAAAAACTATTGAACATGATATACAGACCCAAAAAGTTGATTTTTAAGTTATTAGTAAAACTTTTTGCTCTATAACAATCAAATACATATTAACTGTCGTCTTTTTATTCCAAAGTTTTATGAGTCTCACTGAAGTATAATACTGATCCTCTTTATATCTTGTGTACTATGTAGTTTTTATATATTTAAAACTCTGTTTAAATTAGCTTTTTGTTTAATGTTATGCCGATGCAACTTATACATGAAACATTACAATATAATTTTAGAAATGTTTGCAATTAACAGTTAACACGCAATTTTGACAATTTTATTTTAAATTTCTTTGCACGTCTAATAAAGCTATAGCTTCGCTCTAATGTGTATATTTTTTAAATATATTCGCTATAGTTTGCCAAACGGCTAGACCAAATTGGTAAAATCGAGGTTGACATAGGCAAATTTTTGGATATTTTTGTGAAATGCTACGGGCAACGCCAGGCACGTCAGCTTAAATCATGTTTTAATACCAAGTGCGGGTAAACGGTGGGAATAACTCTGAGTAATAATATTAACCTGGGCAACGTTGGGCAATCCTTAAAGTTAAAAAATTAGATATTGTTGTATTATCGAAACAAAAAATCTGGATAGAATTGAGGAGCGTTCTAGCACATCAGTGGATATCTTTTTCAAACAAATTTTTTTTTTCGGGAAATTTAGCATTTTTTGTTTTAAAGGAAAATGTTTAGATATTTAGTTTGTTTTTCACGAAATTTTCGCGCAAGATTGCGAAAGTTTTCGTTCGCTAGAAACTCTAGTTTTGCTCTTGATTATGTTTTTTTCTACTATCGCCTCTAAAAAGATGGGTACTGGACCTGGTTGCTTTGAGACAAGTTTAATGGTTCGGAGAATGCTCTTAGACCAAAACCTTAACAATACATGCAAGGTGAGATAAATTATATTTTACATGAAATTACGGAAATTATGAAAATAAAATGAAATTTTTTCTCGTAATTTACCACCAAATTTTCTCATCACCATGTCTTAAAGGGAGTGTTCGCGAAAAATGAAAGGGGATATAGGCTTAATGCGATAAAAAAGCGCTTTTGATCGCTACTAATCTTACTTCTATCTGTTGCGTCTATAAGGAGAAAATTGATAAAGACGTCACATACCGAAGAGCGTAGCGCCCATACAAATTGAGGAAGTTGGAACATACGACTTGGATCGTAAAAAATCAAATTAATATCAAACAAATCATTCAGATATTACAACCTATGGTCATCGATTATCTTTCGCCACATTTGTATATATTTAATATTTCATACTAGTTTTGATTTTGTTTTTTTAAATAATATTTAGCTTACAACTTGTTTTCAAACATTCCTGGAAAATATGAAAATGTCGTCTTCATTACCAAAAATTCTCGAAACAGGAATAAATGTTTTATAAGTAACTCTCAGATCATAACAATTAAAACATATTATGAAAAATCAACTGTATATAAATGTGGCGAAAGATAATCGATGACTATAGGTTGTAATATCTGAATGATTTGTTTAAAATTAAATTGATTTTTTACGGTCTAAGTCGTATGTTGCAATTTTCTCAATTTGTATGGCCGCTAAGTTATTCGGTATGAGACGGCTTTAACAATTTTCTCCTTATATACGCAACAGATAGAAGTAAGATCAGTAGCGATCAAAAGCGCTTTTTTATCGCATTAAGCCTATACCCCCTTTCATTTTTCGCGAACACTCCCTTTAAACTTTGTGTAAACTTTGAATTTTAGGTTTTTAAATTTCATCCGAAAAATACTCGAGTCTTAGCTATAAACTAATCCCTATTTCCGTACAGTGCAATATGATGGTGTGAACTTTTAAACTAACAGAATTCATAGTTCCAAGTATCATTTGGTTGCAAAGATATAGGGTTTAGAAAATCAGAGTTTGTAACAATGACTCAATTCTTTTCTTTTCTTGTTCTAATATGTGAAGAAAAAATTCTCGCCAACAATTGAAACGAAAAATTAAAGAAAACAGTTTTAGCGAAAAGTAGAAATGTCTAACTGTAAATTCTTTCATAGTTAGTATCAATTTGATTTATACGTGCATTATTAATAGATTGTCAACTTTCTACTTTTAATCTTTTATACTTACAGATGGGGTGCGGTCCATTTAATTGTGAAATTGAATGACGACATTAAGTGCATTTGATGTTGTTACATAGTTTAATTTGAAAATAAATAAAGAATCTGATTCAGGTTTTAATATACAGATAATTATCACGAAACCGGTCTAGTAGCAATGTTAAATCAATAATTCTATTTATATTTTTTATTAATATACCAGGCTTTTAAAGCCTTTGTTCCAGCACTAGTTTTTAAGACGCCATTTTTTATCGCCTTATGAAATTGACAAAAATTTTCGAGGATTTTAATTTTGTTAATAAAATGTTGACATTTTTTTTCCTTTCAAAAAATTGTTAAACTCTGGTTGGAGCCTTAAGGCACAATCTAAATTAGGAAATTAAAAATCGCGTTTTTGGATAGCTGCCAGAAAACGATAAACATCGATTATATTCTACAAAAAATTGCTTATCTGGCAGAATAAGTTAGATGTCTGCAAAATCGGATGACTGCCGAAGAAGAGAAGAAGAAGAAGAAGAAGAATTAAATCGTTTTTTGTTGAATATAACCGATTTTATGTCGCTTATTTGGCAGCCAGCAGTTATTAAATAAAAGCATTTTTTTTATTTCCTGATTTAGAGTGCAAGGTTCTGCAACTGTTCTACGTTTATCATATGTATATTTAAACAATCAGAAATAATTCTTTTTTTAGTTGTTAAAGTGCAGATCAGAGGAGGACTGTAAAAATATCAAAGAAGAAAATCAACTAAGATTTCAAAAATTACAGTCAGACATATTAAGTAACAGGTGAAATATACATTGCTATGAATAAATGATTAGTTTTGTATTAAAATTACAGTGGTCGGCGACTATATCAATACAATGAAGACGACTATTTATTAATGCTTTAATCCCTAACAAGCATTTTTCAAATTACAAGTTTGAAAGTAAACAAAAGGAAGGTCTTAATTGATAATTTCTTTTTGTTTCCATGTCTGTGTAAGTAGAAACTAACATTGAAATAGAAATTTGTATTTATTGTATTGATATATACGATTGTAAATGTTGTTTCTTTAAAGGTTTGTGTTGAGTGCCTTTTCATTTAGACTTTGTGTTCCTTTTTATTTTTGCATTCCTACAACCTAGAGTGGTTATCATAGGGTGGAGAGAAGTCAGCAGAATAAAGAAAATTAATTTTGATTAGATGTTACAGTATATTATCCCGAGTAAAACATGGAACACCAGAGGAGCTTGAGGTTCCATTATCCTTCAGTATTCTAGCTCATAGGTAAATATATATTCCATTATCCTTCAGTATTCTAGCTCATAGGTAAATATATGTTCCATTATCCTTCAGTATTCTAGCTCATAGGTAAATATATGTTCAATTATCCTTCAGTATTCTAGCTCATAGGTAAATATGTGTTCCATTATCCTTTAGTATTCTTGCTCATAGGTAAATATATATTCCATTATCCTTCAGTATTCTTGCTCATAGGTAAATATAATAGGTAACAAATTTAAACTACATCATTCATATATGTATTTATATCTTTTTGTGTGAATAAATCTTTATAATAATAATATAATATGTTTCATTATCTTCCAGTATTCTAGCTCATAGGTAAATATATGTTACATTATCCTTCCGTCAACACGGAATAGGATTAAACTTCCCAAATACAAATTGTAGTTTGTAAATGTATTTACAGATTAACTCCGTCTTATTTAAAAGTTTTCATCTCTGTTCTTAATAAAATTTTGTATATTTAATTTTTTAGAGATTTTCAACAATTATTCAACCTATTGGAGGCGGTCTACCGGCCTCATAACCTTTATTGCATTCAGGTAATTGTCGTCGGATTGAATTCTTAACTTCAAACATTTTTCAATAAATGATCTTCAATCGATATTACAATGAAAACAAAAAAAGGACCATTGAAAATGGATAAAGTTGTTTTAACGTTTTAATTTTACATTGGACTTTTGGCGGTTATTGCTGATATTTGCTAAAAAAATATTTTTCCCCCTGGGGTTAAAAATTGCGTTATAATTTGTTATTATGATATCAAATAGATTGTCAACCTATTTTATGATATTAATAGTTATTAAAAGTTTTATAATTTAGTTAGACAGCAAATCGGATGCTGCTTTTGTGAAACAAGGTAAATAATTAAAAAATCCTTTTTTAAAAAGTTTTTAATAAAATTATCTTTTTTTCAGTTTCTTTGCTTGTACAATGTCTCTCAGAAGTGCACAACAATATCTTTATTTCTAAAAAGTAAGTAAAGCGAAAAATGAAAAAGCGGAAAAAATTGGCAAATCTTTTCGAATAGATATATTTACGTAAAGAACTGATTACAAACTCTACCTTGGAAATATCTTTGTAACCCGGAGTAAAATATTTGGAAAATATTTGAAATAAAATGCCTACAAATTACAAAATAAGGTTGCAAAAATATAGGAATCAGAAAATTAGAATTTGTGGCGAGAAATTAGTTCCTTGGCCGGGGTTAATTTTATTGGCTTCATTTCGTTATTGATATATTTTCAAATATGCTTAGGGCTCAATTCTAAAGTTATAGCCTAGTTACAAATTCCCAAATACAATTTTAAAATAAGCAAAACATGGATATCTCATCAATTCTTTCAAGGGTACTGTTGTGAGTGTAACATGCCACTTTATTAATGAAGGACACTAAATTTTCGCAAACACTCCCTTTAACATGAATTTTATATTTAGATCTATATCTTTAATTTGGCAAACACTCCCTTTAACATGAATTTTATATTTAGATCTATATCTTTAATTTGGCAACATTCTTCTCTGCTTGAAGGAGATCTCTTGGCTTTACAACAACTGTTAGGCAAATGATATTACTGACCAAAAATAGAAAAAAGAAAAAATGAGATTTTCAAGATAAAATTTTAACCTTTTAAAGTTTTTAAAGATTTGGTATCTAGCAGATTTTTAGTTACATAAATATAAATAATATAAATGAATATTAGTTTAAGACAGAAGATGTAAAATGTAAAATGTAAAATATAAAATTTAAAATGTAAAAGTAAACCAAAAAAGTTCAAACTTATTCTAGAATGATTTTTAGCCAAATTAAGGATAGAAAATATAAATATCTTTTTCTGGACCTTGAGCAAAACTTGTCTAAATATTTCCTAAATACTTTTGTTTTCCTTCCTTTTCGTTTTTTTCATGCATACATTTTATCAATTGATTTGATATAAATTTGTTTGAACAATATTATTAATTTTTTAGAGTTTCCTCACAACTGGCAATATTATGTAAGTAAAATTGTGTTATGGTATTTATCATATTTTTTATTATCGTTAATATTTGTTATGAAATATTCTGAGTATTTCAGATTAATATTCTGAATATTTCAGGTTAATATTCTGAATATTTCAGGTTAATATTCTAAATATTTCAGATTAATATTCTGAATATTTTAGATTAATATTCTGAATATTTCAAGTTAATATTCTGAATATTTTAGGTCAATATTCTGAATATTTCAGGTTAATATTCTCAATATTTCAGGTTAATATTCTCAATATTTCAGGTTAATATTGTGGGTAGTGAGTTTGTTCTAATATCAAACTCTGAGTTAGTCAGGTAATTGCTTAGTCTTGAATTATTTAACGCCCAGAACTTATTTATTCACCCAAAATAAAAATAAAAAAACAACTACTTTCTGATTTTATTATTTGTTAAAATTAAGTAGAATTTAAAAAAATCATGATAACTCTCGCCACGTGGTTTTTTGCTCAAATGAAAAAATTCTGTTGTACTCAAGGTTATAATGCAAGGAAAGTTAATTGCAGTTGCGTATACTCTGCGTAAATATTGAAACCAGTTCTCTCTGGGCGGTGTTTATAAACAAGCATAGATGTCTCAGTGTTCCTTTATTACGCGAGGAGGATAGAAGCATTTAATTCTGAAAATTTTGACCAGAATATTTCATTGATTTTTTTGTGAAAGATGAATCCCATGTCAGGCTGTGATATCAGTCTTGTGTTTTCTTTACAGTCCAGAGACAGTACACTGCAGTACTAAAAATGCGTACACCTCTGAAATAACTGTTCAGCTCAGATGAAAACGTAAATGAGTTGGGTCTGATAATAAGGAAAATTGTTCGAGTTTTTCTAAGAACTGACAATGCTTTCTATTGGGTTCACAAATAGGTTGTCTTGAAACATAATTAATCGTTTTTATAGATTATGTATACTAAATAATATATACTGTATTGTATTCCATGGAATTACAACACAGTACATTCAATGACTATTAAAAAAAGGATGGAAAAGTATGAAAACAGGACAGACAATAATTATAAAAAATAAGGATGAAATAACATGAAAAAAGATAATTTAATTAAAACAGTAGTTTTAGGTTCATAAAAGAAAACTCTTTCTAAGCTTGGAATGACTCGCCAAAAAATACTGAATGTTTTGTTTATTTTTGAAATCGAAGATCCGCCCATTCTTGTATTTTTGCAATGTTTTTTTTTTGCTCTCAGACATGGGTAAATTTCTAGATTTTTTGTTTTCACAACACCGAATTTCTATTGAGTTTACAATCCCCTTTTATATTAAGTTTGTATTTGCAACACAGCACAGCACAGTCAATAATTATGAAAAAGAATAATTACAAATAATAATTCGAATAATATTTTTTTTCTTTTTGTTCCTTTGTACTGTAATGTTGTTTTTTAGAAAGTTGAAAACTGTGAGAAATAATATCGGTTTTGTGGATATACAGTTTCCTCATTCGCAGGTAACCCTCCCCCTCCCCCCCCCCCTTACTAGGATATACAGTTTCCTCGTTCGCAGGTAACCCTCCCCCCCCCCCCTACTAGGGCTGGGCAAACTTCTGTTAACGGAACGGAGGTTTTCAAAAATGAACGAAAGAGTCTGTTAATGAACAAAACTTATTTTGCACTTAAAGTGACTGTGAGCATAATTTCAAATAACCTTCTATTTGTCGAGGGGCATCTTCGTTTCACAACAATACCCTTTCACTGTAAACTCCGGTTCATTTCAAGTGCTGGGCCGACTTTTAAGCAGCTAGAACAAGCTGTACAGTACAAAAACAGACCATATAAGGCAAACCGGGACGGTAAGTCAAATGAATGATTCCCTACAAGTGAAATTTATATGCTTTAAACTTTTGACTTGCGAATTTCTATTGCAGTAACACGTTTATGAATTACCATAATTAAACACTTGAAAACGACAATGTCTTCTACATTATTGATAAGATAAAGGTTTCAAGAATACCATTGTGAATCGGGCATTGACTGGGTCACTTAAAATCACACTTACTGTCCCTTTAAAGGTAGTAATTTTTGCGTTCATCCATTCAACAAATATTTTTCTAAATTTAAAAAAAAATTATACAAAAAACTTTTTTTCTGCTTACTTCTAATTTTGTTTACACATTTATATTTTTTTATTTAGGTTCAAGATAGATGGAAATATTCTTATGAATTAACCAAGGTAAACATTTAATCAAATTAATTTTATACAATTACACCAAATGGTTTTATATCTTTTTTATGTATGTTTGGTTGTCTGACTGTCTGTTTGTATCCAATAAACGTCAAAACAACTGAAACGATTGGGCCCAAATTTTGTGCGGGACCTCACATGACACCAGGGAAGGGTAATGGATGCTCAAAATTACAATAATTTGTGTACAGAAGTATTTGATTTTTAAAAATTTTAGGATGCGCGAATTTTAAATCGCGAACTTTTTATGTTATTTTTTCTTATTGTACAAAGAGAAGATCCTCACAGATAGAACCACAATTAAAATTTTAAATAATGAAAAGCCTAGTATTCATTTATATATTCAAATAAATTTAATTGCAAACTCAAGCTGCACTACAGGGTGTCCAGTGGTCCCGCAGAACATTTCGTGGAATACCCAGTAGTGTAGGATTTAAAGAATAAGTAATAATTTGCGTGGAATACCCAGTAGTGTAGGATTTAAAGAATAAGTAATAATTTGCGTGGGATACCCAGTAGTGTAGGATTTAAAGAATAAGTAATAATTTCCTTGGGATACCCAGTAGTGTAGGATTTAAAGAATAAGTAATAATTTGCGTAGGATCCCCAGTAGTGTAGGATTTAAAGAATAAGTAATATTTTGCGTAGGATCCCCAGAAGAGGATTTAAAGAATAAGTTATAATTTGCGTGGGATACCGAGTAGTGTAGGATTTAAAGAATAAGTAATAATTTGCGTGGGATACCCAGTAGTGTAGGATTTAAAGAATAAGTAATAATTTGCGTGGGATACCCAGTAGTGTAGGATTTAAAGAATAAGTAATAATTTGCGTGGGATACCCAGTAGTCTAGGATTTAAAGAATAAGTAATAATTTGCGTAGGATCCCCAGTAGTGTAGGATTTAAAGAATAAGTAATATTTTGCGTAGGCTCCCCAGTAGAGGATTTAAAGCATAAGTTATAATTTGCGTGGGATACCCAGTAGTGTAGGATTTAAAGAATAAGTAATAATTTGCGTGGGATACCCAGTAGTGTAGGATTTAAAGAATAAGTAATAATTTGCGTAGGATCCCCAGTAGTGTAGGATTTAAAGAATAAGTTATAATTTCCCATGCTTGATATGTTTATATAGGGTGGATCCGTATGAGGTTTATTGAGAACAAATATTAATATTGGAATAACCAATTTGTATTGATTAGTCTTTCATGGAAACACATCAATACCTTTAGTCTAAAAACGTAAAATAATTCCATCAGTCGTCGGCGATTATAATAAGACAATGAAGACGACTTTCTATTTCAATTTTGATTTTTACTAATCGATTTCAGTCATCTACATGGTTCACTACAGTTTCAGTAGAAGTAAATATTTCCATTTACTGATAGTGCCGATTGAGGGATTCATAACTCTGATTTGATAATGAGATAGATAGAAAGATAGATGATAGCGCCATAATATTTCCATTAGTTCAGAATAGACAACAAACACATGACTGAACCCTGTTGGATCAGGCGCTAATAGACTCGGCATACAAGAGTGGGTTTTAGCCTTTTAATGGCTTAATAGATGATTTGGCAAGGAAAGAAATAAGTTTACAACTGCAGGAAACGAGACAGTATAAATTACATACAATCCTCTCTGAAGTCTCATTTTACGTGGTTAATACTGTGTTAGATAGAGTAGAGACAGATGTTATCAAAGCTAGATAACTAGGTTGTCAGTTAACAGTTTCTCATTTTACGTGGTTAACACTGTGTCAGATAGAGTGGAGACAGATGTTATCAAAGCTAGATAACTAGGTTGTCAGTTAACAGTTTCTCTTTGTTTAATCGTAAACTTGTAATTTAAAAAAATGCTTGTTTATATGGGTCAAAGCATTATTAATAAAAAGTCATCCTCATTGTATTGACATAATTACCGAACACTGTGTCTTACAACAAAGCCCAAATATCAAGACAAAAAACGTGAAGTCTAAAACGCCAAACCTAGAATCACAAAGCAAAAAAAACCTCTTACCTGAAAACGTCAAACTTCAAACAAAAAATCACATGGCAAGTTGTATATCACAAAACAACTTGCAAACTAGAATTTCGAGCTAAGCTTCGCTTAAAACAATAATCATTCATAGTTAAAAATAAGTTAAAAAATAATTTTCTCTACCAGGGAGCTGAAAGTGGAAAAGCCGATACCACACTATTCGGAAGTTATTACAAGGTGATGTTTACAAAATCATGAAATAGTATTTAATGTGACGCCATTGCAAGTGTCCTATCATATATCCTATCCACAGCGGTACCCTGTAAACCTTTCTGAAAATTCAAAAGAAAACATATTTCTTCTGTGACTATAAGAAAGTAAGAATAATATAGCTGCAAGAAGAAGCGTTTTTGCGGATAAAAAAAGGAAAACTCGTACTTTTTAAAATCAAATTTGCAAATCCGAAACTACAGGGTTCTTTGAAGTTATATCCCTTTGATTGTATGAAATTTATAAAATGTTTATACAGGGTGTGACCCCCAAAAAAACAGGGATATACAATTTTAAAATAATTACAAATTTTAGAATGTGCCAAGAGTGACAAGTTCTCTGAAAAGTCTTCCTCCTAAGGTTTCGAATTTTTTTTTATCATTTTCATTTGCAGAAACTTATTGTTCTTTCTTCCCTTCTTTCTTTTCTTTCTTTCTTTCTTTCTTTCTTTCTTTCTTTCTTTTTTTCTTTCTTTCTTTCTTTCTTTCTTTCTTTCTTTCTTTCTTTCTTTCTTTCTTTATTTCTTTCTTTCTTTCTTTCTTTATTTCTTTCTTTCTTTCTTTCTTTCTTTCTATCTTTTTTCTCTTTCTTTCTTTCTTTCTTTCTTTCTTTCTATCTTTTTTGTCTTTCTTTCTTTCTTTCTTTTTTTTCTTTCTGTCTATTTTTTCCCTTTCTTTCTTTTTCTTTCTTTCTTTCCTAATTTCTTTCTCTTTCTTTCTTTCTCTGACTTTTGTTATAGTCATACAGTGATAACCAAAAACTGTGGAATAAAGTTATTGCTTCAAGTAGTCCGAGCAATGAACATTAATCACAGCAATTGTACACACCCATTTCACTTAATAAGTAATTTAATATGTAAGAGATAAAACTATTTGAAGTCACAACATCAAATGCACCTAATTATAGCTTTAATGTTTGCTTCATTTTCCAAAGTTTTCTGGTTCTCACTGTAGGTTTCCATTCCAATATCAGGTTTCAAAATTATAAGAAAAGAGGATACTTTATGGGTTTACAACTCACGCACCCCTGATCATTTAGTAAAAGTAAATTCAACCAGTCCTATTGAGTGTCTGCTATATTTACCCAATGTCCGGGCGATACAGTACAAACTGGGACCGGAAAGGTTGACCCGGCTAAGAAATTCAAATGTACTACGGCTGCCCGTGAACTAATTACTGGGTTCATATTGATAACTTGGTATAGGTGCCGCAAAGTGGGGTAAAAACATTATTAACAACATTTCTATAAATAAATAATTTATTATTGTTTCAAGAATCTGACGATTATGTATGGAATTAAGAATGTAGCAATTTCCAGGTAAACTAACTAAAGAAAAACAGGTTTAAAGGGACTGTTTGTGTAATTTCAAGTGATCTTCCATGTAAAGAAGGGATTACAGTACCCTTTAAACCTTTGGCTGATCATCGATCGAAATGTGTTAATCTCATAAAGTAGAGATTCAGTGCACTGAGTACAGCAGGCAAGCTGGGCAAAACAGTATAATTTTAGAAAAATTGGGGTTGTTTGTGTACTATTCTTAAAAACAAGTAATTTTTCCAGTGCTTCATTTGTTTACTTTCTTATTTTTTGTTTACATTATAGGAGGAAAATATCTATCTTTCTCTCAGATTATTTAGTATTGATGGGTACGCCGGCAAAATGTCTACTAAACATATGATCTAAATATATGCAAAAATCGAAGTTTAAAACAAAACCGGCAGACCCTGCAGTATATGTACTGTATGAACCCCACTTCCTCTTGGAATCGAGGTTTCGTGAGATGAGTTGGCTGAGTGTCTATCTTTGTGTATGGTTAATCTGTAAAATGGTGTTCAAGAACCGGTAAACATGGCAGGATATGCTAGTTTACAGTGTCAATTCAATGAATGTGACATAACATATATTTCTCGTAAATTACGAATACTTAATATCCAACGTGGTTTATCTAAAGATCTGAGACTTCCGGAAAGTATCTATTAATATTTCTTAAATTTTATATAATCTTATTATAGGCTCCTGCTGATTTTCTCCTCCCAAGTATATATTATTGAAAAACAGATTGTAAACAAGGTTTTCAACAATTACAAGCATTTTCGTAGAAAAAATACGGATAAGTCCGTCATCCTTGATCAGTCAAAGGTTTAAAGGGTTCCGTTGTGAATGGAGAGTGACTTTAAATTACATGTATAAGTCCCTTTAAGGGGAAAAGAAGGACGACTATCAATATTCACTTTAAATCCTGCTTAACAGTCATTTTCAAACTATTCAAACGCACACTTAAGAATGTTTAAATGTCGTCTTCATATTCCACCCGGTTACAAATCTCATTGTAAACCACATAAAAAGATATTTTTAGTTCAATTATTGTTTACTTTAGTGATTTTTTTTATTTACTTTTTTTTATTGAAGAATCATAAGATTAAACAAAAAAATATTGTTCGAGTGAAATATAAGATCATGCTTACACAATATACATCAAAATATATTAACACTCCCTTTAATCCTCTAATCTTTTTTCCTGAATAAGTGATAACAGTAATTGGAAATCTTTTCTTCAATGCTGTAAACAGGTCAAATATTGACACAACTTCACAAAACTAACACAAGCAAATTTGTTTAACTTTGACGGGTAGGGGGGGGGGCATGTACTTGTTCACTTGTTAATAAAAGAGCATTTGGAGGGTGGGGTGGGGGGCACATATATCCCAGACTGCTATTAAAAATGCATCCATTTTTAAATATAGGATCACCTTAGAATTGTCACAACGTCTTGATCTCCCTAACTCCCTTATATTTTGTGTAGCCCTATACATGCACATGTTAGAAAAATATATATTTTGTTAGAAAAATTGCATAAATTTTCAACGCCTTGGCTTTTGTTTCTATTTCCCTAACTCACCTTTTTATCACCCTTGACGCATACATTTTAGAACTTGTTGTTGGTTTTAGTTTCTAAGAAGTAATTGGCAAAATTCTCATCAATTTTTTCTGGAAAAGTTTGCAATCATTGAGTTTAATGCAGGGGGGGGGACGTCATCCCTGTGGGCTAACCAACCCCACTACCTGGATATACGCCCCTGCATTTTTTTTACCTTTTTAATTAACGCCGTGTTTACATCACTGTGCTTTTATTTTTGCTCCTAATACGCGAACTAAATCTGAGAGATAATTTTCCATCTTTGACTGATCAACTGTTTTGTAGGAAGTTTGCAGATTATGTGATAAATGACGAACTATCCAAGGTAAATAAAAATAATAATGACAACTTTTATTTGTCATTTTCTTTTTACCTCTGCTTAATTGTTTTGTCAAAGAAATTGAGTCTTTCCCACAAAATCAAATTTTCTAATCAACATTTCAAACTTTTATCTAACAGAAGTCATATATGCTTAAAATATCTAATGTCTGCAACATCGGGTTGCAAAGATATAGATTTTAGAAATTCAGAGTCGGTGGCAAAGTTGACTCAATTCCTTTGATTGCATGTTTTTTTCTTCTAAAATTGCCTGATTTCTAAGGTTCTGGTTAAAAAAAGAAAATAATTATGGGAATGAATAAAGTTAATTATTGGCATTAATAAAATTAACTATGGGAATTAATAAAATTAATTATGGGAATTAACTATTGGATCCAAATATTATTTCTAAGATTCCAAAAATTGCATCGGATTTTCCAAATGGATTTGAAAAAGGACTCTGCACTAAAATACAGTTGTGAGGTCTTGGTGGACAGGTCTTTGAATTAAAGGCAGTCATCTTTCAAAAGCAGTCTCTGATTGTGCATCGATGATGATAATTTTCACCCATTAAAAACTAAAAAAAAATTTTAATTGATATTTAGGAATTACGAGTTTGGTTAAAGGATGTTTTGGTGGCAGTTGAACATTTCTACCCAACCCTGGCAACAGTTTTTATAAAGAACATCAACTACAACAGTAACATCAACAACAACAACAGCACTGAAAACCTCAAACAAATTCCTTTTCAGGATTTCTCTTTTAACAAGGAAAATCCAAAAAAATCCAATATGCTAAAGTCTAACTCTTTAAACGTTTGTCTTGTTTGTTGCTTTGCTTTATCTGTTTATATCCGATATTACCTGTACAGCTGAACCGAATGGGTCCAAACTTGTATGGCTAGGGATGGGAATAGTTTTACTTAACGAACAAAACATTTCTAAAAAACCAAATTTTTCGTGATCGATGGCAACGTTAAGAAAAATTAACGAACAATGAAGAAACCACTGTGATTTAAAGGTAGCAAGATTTTAAGCAAAAAATCTATGAGAATTTTAAGCCGATTGCTTCTTTAAAACCAAAGCTAAAAAACAGGTGCTTTATTGTTCTAAAGGGTTACAGAAAAATATAAGTGACTTATAGAGCGGTAATTTAAAGAGCGGTAATATATAGAGCGGTAAAATCAAAACTACGGTTTCCCACGGGCCACGAAACAGTATTTTCTCTTGCGCAACAGTTTCGTGTTTTTTGCACGAATTTCACATCAATTACGTATCAATACGAAACTAGGGTTGCACGAAATTGCGAGCCTTCTATACTTTTTTTTATGATCAAAAATAGATTTGGCTAGATTTTAAGTTATGGCTTTATAATATATTAGGGATCTCAGATCCAAAATATTAGGTCAATATCTTTACTATTTATGACTTAGAAATGTGTCTTAGAAGCCCATATCTCTGAAAGTAGTAGATATCAAAGAAATAATTTAGGACAATATTTCTATAATAATTCAAAAAAAATCATTGTATTTGCACAAAATTACGCATGAATATAGAATTTAAGTAACAAATTTTGCATAATTTTGCGGATAAATACAAGATCATAGTTTGGTACGAAATTGGGCAATGCTTATGATAATGAAAACTTGGATTTTTTGTACAATGTGGTGTATGAATACGAGAAAAGGAAAGATGTGAATTAGTTATACATTTCTCCTGTTTGGAAATTGGCTGAAATAGCGAAATAGCTGGAAACAACGAAATACGCAAAAACCAAGATTTTCTTCAGAATTTGCACGAAATAGCTGATGCGAAATAATATCGAAATTTCGTGCAATTTTTACTTGGAACGTACGAAATATCTTTGCGCATTTTCTACACTATTTTCGTGCAAAAACTTTTCATTGGAAACCCTAATCAAAACCCAAAGCGTTTCGACACTTCAAAGTCGATCCGGTCTAAAAAATGAATGAAACTTTTTATATATGCTTAATCTATGTGAAACGAATTGGATCTTTCAGAAAAATAAAACAATAGCTTCTATAAAACGAACTGTTAATGATCGTTTCAATTTTATCGATGAATTACTAAAATTGTTTAAATTTTTTTTGGAAACCGGCTAACCCTAACCTAACCTTTAACAGAAAGAAAGATCTTGGTGCATAGACGATTTTACTGAAAGAACGATTTTACCAAGTGAACGTTCGATTTTTTTAACAAACGGTAAAAAAACCCGAACGGCTCATCTCTATTTACGGCTGCACTGATCGAAATTTACCTCCAAAAAATTACAATGTTTACTATAGAAAGCCCATATTTTATCATAAATGTTCATATTTTATCATGAATGTTCATATTTTATCATAAATGTTCATATTTACATTATTCACAGATTTTCACTTGTTATTTATGAATTATTTGGCATTTTCTGCAGGATCTAGTCGAATTTCAGATGCGAAAAACATTTTGGCTAAATAGTGATCATTACTGCTATGGCCAGGTGATGATGATTATGATAATAATAATAATAATAATAGTAATAATAATGATAATAATATATTACAGTCATAATAATAACAATAATAATAATAACAACAAAGCATCTATTTACATATATATCTAACTATCTATATATTAATCTATTTATTTTTATCTATCTATCTTTCTAGATTCGGCGTGAGATCTGTGTTTTGTCTTTACTAGATCTTCCAGCAATTCTTCAAGTAAAAATAGATTAAATATTTAATATATGTTTATATATATATACTTTGCTTGTCTGTCAAAACTGCTGAACCGATCAGGATCAATTTTTTTGTGGGACCTCACATGATCTCAAAAAAAGGTTTATGGATAGTTAGAATTAAAAAAAATTTGCCTTAAAAAATTGAAAAAAAGAGAAACAATCAATAGTTAAAATCTAAAATTGAGCGAAGCGCTCTGGAAGGCTAGTTTACTTAAAACTGCACATAAAGTAATCAAAGGGCACTCAGCTTAAGTTCAAGTAATCCTTATTTTAAAGCTTTTGTATGCCTAATTGACAACGGTTATGAGAAACAGACAAACAAACAAACAGAAATTTCTAATAAATAAGGAATTGCTTATGAAATTTAAAGATTAATAAATCCTGATAAAGTTTCAAATTAAGAATATCATTGGATTTAAAAAAAAAAACTTTCAATTACATATATCTCGAAAGTTCAGAATATTCAGAATTAACATTTACCCTTCACAAATTTCACTTCACTTTTCATTTCCAAAAATTCTTTAAAATTGTTTTATTCTTGTTTTATTTTAGGAGAAAGGATTTGTCATGAATAAATTTGATTCTGATTTAGATCCATCTGTAGTCACGTGTTTAAAGTAAGAATATATGTTTAAAGGGACTGTAAAGGAAAAATAAAAGAGGGTATAGGCTGAAACCTGAGAGTCTCAGGAGCTGATTGAGACATATTAGAGTTCTGTTTAATGTTCCTGTCTCGAGAAATTGATATAAACGGTGTCAAAATTATACCAAAACATATATATATGTAAGATGTTGTATATGATTCGTAGTATTAAACAGATCATATTCAACAAATAAGCAATCAATCTGAAATCAAGGATATCCCAGAGGAGCCTGAGAAACTTAAGTTTGCTCCTATTATTATTTGAATTTAATAATTTATCATTTTTAATAGATATAATTGATAACATTATTTATGCGTCTGAAACATGTCACCTGAACTCCAACCAGTGGCAGTGCAGTAATATTGTCACGTGTCTCTGTCTGTATCACATGACCAGTATGCTGCACTGCCATTGGAGAGAGTTCTGGTCACGTGATACGGATGTATATCTTACATATATACGTTTTGGTATAATTTTGACACAGTTTTATGTCAATTTCTTGAGACAGGAACATCAGATAGATGTCTTATAGGTATCGTCCAACTCCTGAGAATCTCAGGTTTCAGTCTTTTCCCCCTTTCATCCTTTACAGTCCATTTAAGATGACTCTCAATGTTTAATAATTTTCAAAGTTCCTCTTAACTCAAAATTTACAAAAACAAAGGATGAGATTATAAAGACGACCTAAAAATCCTTAATTTTGTCAGGCTAACTCTGAAGCTTTAGTTTGGTTTTCAAACTATAACATAAACTTTTATATGTGTATTAAATGATCTGTCAAAGGAAGTAACAAGTTTAAAACTATCGGGAACCACGAACATAGAAATTAAAGAATGAAAAAATTCCGTGCAGTCGTCTCTGAAGTCTCATCCTTTGCGGGTAACCCTGTACAAGAAAATGTCTTGTATCGTTCATTAGACAAAGGTTTACTTTTATACCAGGAATCAAATTTAATAAATGGCCAGAATTAGTTGAACTACATAGACTAAGTTGAATCACTCTCTTGTGCGCGGTTCAAGTTTACAAGACGTGGTTCCACTTAATTACGAAGTTCAACTACTTTTCGTGATTCATTAGATTTTGATCCTGATTTATCTTGTCGTAAAACTTTAACATTTATCAATTGCCTTTTATTTATAATTTTTCTTCATCTATTCGTTTCTCCCAACTGTTACTTTTGACCCTTGCTTCTATATTCCAAATTATAAATACATCATTATGATGCTACAGTTAAGTTATCAGAATGTCGTCTTCTTTCTCCTTATTTACTTTTATACAGGATTACCTAGAAAAGATGAGAATTCAGAGACGACTGTAAGGAATTTAAACAGTCAGTATTCATGATTCCCTGCCACTGTAAACTTGTTTCTTTCTTAATTAGCCAAATCATTACATATAAGCCATAAAAACAATGTTCACAGCAGAAAACTTAATTACATCTTTTAAAGTGTCATATTTTAAAAGTTACAGGTCGTCCTTACAGTCTCATCCTTTGTGGGATAACCCTGTATTTGTATTTTTATAAATAATATATTTTAATTGAAAAAGAAATTACAATCAAAACTGTTCAGCATCAAAAGAAGAAAAATAAAAGACACCACTGAAATGTTTTTAAAGTTTTTTACAGATTTTTTAGATTGAATATTTGATAACGTGTCTATTTTTAGATTGGATATTTGATAACGTTTCTATTTTTAGATTGGATATTTGATAACGTTTCTATTTTTCAGTGAGATGATCTACGGTTTGGACAAAGAAGCATAATAAAGCTGATATTAATAACTTGTAATTTCTTGACAAATCCTATGAAATAAAATCTATATGTATCATTAGCAATCGGCGCAAAAATAGCTTACTAAATACTTATAATCTGTACAAATTTTAGTTTATCTGGTTGCATTGGTAGGACAAAAAATTATTTTGCAGTGTTTCTGTTGTTATTGATATCAAAAGAATGATACTTTTTGAGCAAAGGGGTACCATCTATGTAGGACTGGGCGCGTTCCAGGTGGAACGATCGTTCTTTCCCGAGAACGAACGGAACGATCAAGAACGATCCCATCGTTCCGAAAAAAAACGAACGCTCAGAACGCGTTCTTAAAAATTTTGGAACGATTAGTAAAAGAACGGAACGGAACGGAACGGGAATTGCTTGAAAAGAACGGTTAAAATCGTTAAGGCGTTCTTATTTTCAAGAACGCGTTCTAAGTTGGGAACGCATTTTAAATCAGGAATGTGTTTCAAGTTTATATAACCCCAATAACCCCCCTTATTTACGCCACTGCAAGGATTTAATGCATTACATTCTTGAGGAATGGGAGCTGAAAGGGGAAAAAGGAGAAGGGGGGGGGGGGGAATTTAGGTTGAAAAAATTGTTTTCTATAATTTATTTCTATTTCGTTTTGATATTATTGAAATACTGATTATGAAAATTAAATATTTTTCAAAAATCTACAAATTGTACACCCCCTTTTTTAAGGTAACTCGGTTTTAGTAATCGTTCTATACTAAGAAACGTTAATTTACTAAGAACGGAACGAGAGGGATGGAACCGTTCTTTAAATAAGAACGCCGAGAATGGAACAGAACTGGAAGACCGTTCTTCTACTCAGAACGGAACGGAACAGGACGGAACGGAACTTAACAGAACAATACAACAAAAAAGGAACGAGAACGGAACGATTTATCTGAAGGCCCTCGTTCTAGAACGGAACGGAACGATTTCAAAAAAGTCGGAACGTGCCCAGCCCTACATCTATGTTTATGGTTGTCCATTTTCTCAAAAGAAATATTTTTTGACAATTTTAGCATTTAAAAAATGTCTTATTATTATCAAATGTGCAATTTTTAACAAAATTTGGTGAAACTTTCCTGAAATTAAATAAATAAGTTTGGTATGCATGGAAACCGTCATACCTTGCAGTGCAAAAATTAGAAGAGAGAGAGGGCCCGAAAAAATTACTTATCGATTAAAACTTTTGGTTTACTCTTAATAATAAAAATTTAGAAAAGCTAAAATGAATTTTGTGGAAGTAAGTGCAAACGATGTGCGATTACAAGCAAAAAATCACCTCCCAGAGAATCCTGACTTTTATCGTAAAATTGAAAAAAAATCATGCTTTGCATGGTCCGAAAATGCTAAAAATGGAAAAGTAAACATTGTCGCTCTCTAATACTGTAACAGTGTGATTTTGTTGATCTTTTACGCTCAGCGATTCAAGGGATTTTTAGATTGCTGAGATCATAGCTATCTAGGGGTATCATGCCCCCCCCCCCTTCACCTCTTGGATAGACTTTTGAATCCTAACGGATTTATTTGTGTTTATACGTGAATTCTATAAATAACCCAAGCCACGCCGATAACCCAAGCCACGCCAAATGTTCCGTTATTCCAGAGGCCCGGGCGCTGGTGGAGATGGCCGGCCAGCTCCCGGGTAGCTAGGGTTTAATCTAGGCAAGGGTGGGGTGAAACTTGGGGAAAATAAGCAGTTGAGCACCAACTCCCTGAATAGGAGGTTACCCTGGAGATCCTCCTCACTCTGGATTATTATTCATGCAATATTGATTTGTATAGTATTTTCTTATTTTTATTCGTGTTTGTATAAAAATGATAATAAATTGTAAAACCGTCTCGCTGAATATTTGAGAATATGAGTTAATGACTTGAATTTTTAGCATACATTAGATGGTGATAAAGTTGAAAAAATTGGAGGCCCAAATAACAACACTCATTTTTGATAATATTCGGCGAAATAGTTCTGTTTCATTTCGGTCCACCCTAACCGGAATGCTAGAGTACTATCGGTAAGCTTGCGCATAACGCGGCATTGAAAATAGACGCCAACTCAGCCCAAGCCACAGTTAACTGTTACTTTTACAATTGTGAATGTTTAACTAATAATTCCAAGGTAAAAAGACCTTATTTTTATTTTTTTTAATCGTTAATAAGTTTATGAGTATGGCGCAAATATTTTCATCAAGCTCTGATATTTTCGACAGACTGACAGAAGTTAAATTTGACACGAGTTAAGTTGACAATGTTAGAGACGCAGATGGACAATGTTTTTCAAGTTTAAGTTTTTCATTAGTCCCTACTTTATTATTTTTTACTAGGATGGAGAAGGACGTCCCAGGACAATCCCGAAATGGGGGAAGACCAGACTGGTTCCTCACCTGGTTATAGATAAGATAAGATAAGATAACGTTTATTGCTAAAAT